TTTATACCAATTTGCCATAAAGGATGCACATTCGTTTTTGTTTTATTCTCTACAGTCATAAGAACAAATGCGAGATCTACAAGTCCTTTCAATACTAAGTGACGATCCCTGTTACTGTATAATTAAAGCGTTGTATATATTAAAAGATTTGATATTAAAGTATTTATAATACATGCAATCTATTGCATATTTACCTCGCCTCGATGACGTTTCCTATCACATTCATTACGCTATAAGAATCGGGAATTAATTTTCTCAACCATGCACTATGTTTCTGTTTAATGTCATTTTCGTTTCGTTTATTAATAATCGCTCGCAGCATTTCCAAAATCTACAATATTATAGTTAAGTAATATTATAGAATTATATATTGTTATAATATGATACAACTATATTACATTATAAACATAAAAATATATATAATTAATATATAGTGTTTTAAATTACACAATAACTTTAAAAACATAAAAAAAGTTTAAAGGGTTTAAAATTCGAGTCCCGTAATTCTTAATGAATGTTTTTAAATTATACATAAAACATTTTTTCAAACAGCACATTTTTCCTTTTTGAACTTTAATTTTTAATTACTGAATTACAGATATGGTAAATCCCAAGAAAGTTTGAAATACAGTATTATATCATACGTACGTCTCTTAATGTAAAATTTTATGTATTGATTCAATTCGGCTGATTGAGATATATTATATATTGAGATATATAATACTATATTTTTAATGTCTCGAACTTTCTTGGGATTTATCACATCTGTAATTCAGTAATTAAAAGTTAAGATTCAAAAAGAAAAGTATAATCATTAAAATATGCAAAATTAATATATTATTACCTGATTTTCATCAATAGAAGCAACTGTGAGCAGTACAGAAAGCATAAAAGGTTCTAATACAGCTTCAGGAATGTGTGATATACTTTTAAAATATTTAATGTAGTCTCTTATATGCTGATGATTCAATTCAGCTGATTGAGATATATGATATAATACTGTACTTTCAACGTCTCGAACTTCCTTGGGATTTACTATATCTGTAATTCAATAATTAAAGATTAAGATTCAAAAAGAAAATTGTGTCATATTTTTATATAATTTAGAAACACCATTCATAAAAAATTTGAAACAGGAAACAAATTTAAAATCCTTTAAACATTATGTTTTTAAAGTTATATTCTATAATAAAATTAATCATGTTTTTATGTTTATAATGTAATATAATTATATCATTTAACAATATATAATTATATGTTATTATTACATATTACTATTATATAAAATTATAATTATACAATATACTGCATTACACAAATAAATTTAAGATTGTATCTTTAGTTTTCTTACCTATAGATTCAAAAGTATCAGTACTTTCAGTTTGGGAGAAACGTAGTGTGAAATACTTCCGCAAGGCTTCTAAGAGATATTTATTATCCTGATTAGTACATAATCTCAGTGACTGATGCACAAAAGGAGGTACTTCATCAAGAGGTATATCTTGTAGTTTTGTGCAGAATACTGTAATTACCATAGCATGATCCTCCTTTTCCAAAGATATATCTCTAAGTATAATAAAGCCATTAGTTCATTAATTCATATATATATTTTATTAAAAACTGCTCCCATTCACTATTGCATAGATTATTAATGATAATAGACTTGTATTTGGAACCAGTAACTTCACCATTCATATAAGTAATATACTTTTCTTCCTCCAACACTTCCAGCAAAACAGGTAATAAATCTTTCCAACTGAAACATACCATGTGTATCTTTTGTTTCTATCATGCTAAAGGCATAAGTAATAATTATACCTCCTAAATTCGTCGTCATTGTTGCGAATACTAGCAAGACAGAAGTCAACCAATTTAATCAGATGTAGTTTTGGATATTTAGGAAAGTCCAACACTATTCGATTCACAATCTCGTTCGCATGATTAATTGTTACTTTAGCTTTGCCTAAAGCTTTCAAAGCAGACTCCACTAATTTGACTCTCTTGGCAAATAAATTCTCCGACTCAGAACACACCTGCAGAACCTCGTCCAGTATTTTGGAAATATCTGCATTGCAAATTTCGTTCGATGTTATCTTTGTGAGCTGAAATAAATCATCTTTCTAACACAATTTCGAACTAATATTCTTAAGAAGAATCTTAACTTAATTTCATATAGAATTGGTATATAGATAAAAAAAAATATGTTTTACATTTGTGAACTGCATTCTTTACCTCCTCAGTTGAGCTTTCCCACACGAATTTTTGTAACTGTGCTTGATCTTTTTGGGTGATCAAACTATTTAGTTTTTCACTCATCTCAACTTATTAAATTAACATAGCAATGTATAAATAACAGTGATATAAGCGCACATTTCTTTTTTCTTATATCTGTTTCTGTCGATGTCAACTATCAATAAACAACTGTTAATAATTTTCCCGCTCTTATGAACAAGTTAGAACAAGTGTGAACGATGTTGCATCCTTGTGTCCATGTGATGCTAGAAATCAGTCCGAGATTTCGACAAAGAAAGAATTAACGAATCACATTTGAATAATTTGTCACATGACCAATGCGATTGGTCAATTCTTTCTTTATCTCAGGTCTCGAACCGATTTCTAACTAGATTTGTCTTTTTTTTTTACTTCATGGATCTAACAGAAAATGCCAATCAGATGAAAGAGCGTTCAGTGAATGATTACGCATCTGGATGCACCCGATGTCCGAATATTATAATTTTGGCGTAAATTGAGCCATGTAAATGTAGTTAAAATTAGGCCTGTTCTTTTTGATTGAAACTTTTGCACTAGTTCATCTTTTTTTCTTTTCTCTTCATCAGGAAAGAAGAGGAAGAAAGATGAACGATGCAAAAGTTCAATCAAAAAGAATAAGCCTATTGAATAAAACTATTTCCAAATAACTTAACAATCAGACAACGTTCAGATCACGTTTAAAGTACCAGTTCTCGTCTGATCACTGAAGTCAAGCAACGTTGAGCACGGTTAGTACTTGGATGGGTGACCGCTTGGGAACACCGTGTGATGTTGTCGTTAAATTTTTTATTTTTGCTCCAAACTAAAAGAAAATTCGCAAAAAAACTATATTGACGGGATATTATATATTAAGAATTAATTATTAATATAATAATAGCCTTATTTCAAATCGACGATCAGCATATTTTTCTACGCGATTCATTTTTCATTTAATACCTGTATTATTTTATTAATAGATACAATATGGATGTATAGATTATACTTATGTATATTGATCAAAAATATATTTAAGCATTTATATTTTTTTTCATTTATTTGAAATTCTTTTACACACATTGTTATTTATTGGTTACCAACATCATGCATATATAAAATATTTGTGACCAAGGCTGTACAAAAAAGGTAATAATTCTATCCAATAATTTTATTCATATTATAATAAAAAATAATTCTGTACATAATTCTATATATATGTATATATATATATATATATATATATATATATATAGATAGAAAAAAGCATATTTTTTTAGACAATTATTTTTATCATAATATGAATAAAATAATTATTTTGACAGAGCCAGGATTAACTTAGGGAGGACTGTGCTTAGAAATCCGCCGTTCGAATTATCCATTTCGATTAACTTAGAGTTTAATCGAAACTGTCTGGATGTTTGGAATGTCCACGGCATCCATGCGTGTCTGTTGACATACGATGGACAGCGGCGAAGCACACGTTAACTAACATTAACCTCGCACGGAAGATGGCGGACGACGATATGAACGGAGACTCGGACGATGTGCAGCAGGAAAAGTCGCAGAAGAAGGCGGCCAAGTATGACAGCGGTGCAGCGGATCTAGAAAAAGTGACCGATTATGCCGAGGAAAAAGAGATCTCGTCGTCTGATGGATTTTCCTGCGTAAGTACTCGCTTGTCCCGGTAACCTAAAATTGAGCTCATTTACGCGCATCATTCTCGTTGCTTTCAAATGTTAAATTGAAAGTTAACTCGGTTTTCGCATTAAAAAGAATGTCTAACAGGCTCTCAGCATAATCGGCGATCGTCGCGACAAGGAAGCCGCGGAGAAAAAGGCGAAAGAGAAGGAACTGCTCAAAGTATCTATTAAGAAGGAGGATGTTGATTTGATCGTAAGTACTTTTCCCACGTGTTCAATTCTTGGAAATTCGTACCAATCGAAAGACTTATGGTTGTCTTTTTTTCAGATGAAAGAGATGGAAATCAGTCGGATCTTGGCTGAACAGACTCTCAGGGAACATAGAGGCGATATTGTAGAAGCATTAATTACATTAACTAATTGAAATTGTACAAAAGAAGTGTTCTTGTTCGAGAGGTCTGGTATCATATCTCTGAATTTTACTGTAAAATATGCTAAATTACGAAAGTTCCGAGACTTTCAATTATTTGCTGATTTGTTATAAAATATCCAAGTAACTTATATTTTCGTTTTCTCATATTTACCTACTTGCGAAATGCGCAGTTCTATAAGTAAATGATAATGATAATGTATTGTAATAATTATATGTATATATATATATATATACATATACATATATATATATATATATCAATATATGCATTTATATGTGTAGTAAGAGTAATTCATTAAAAATAATATCCATCTGACATCTTATCAAAATTTGAAATATAGAAAGTTATAGCTGCTATCAATACGAAGGAAATATCTACTTGTCTGATACCTTTTTGTTGATTACCAATGTTATCAGACATTCATATTGATAAGATTATTATGGGTATAAATAAGATATAAGAGGTTTTATAAGATATAAGAAACTCAGAAATACATTTGCATTGAATGTCGGTGGTTTACCTTAATATGCTCGTTATCACAAAATTATTTTTGCGTAAATCGTTATTGAATCTTTATACTAATATAAATAATGTCAACTAAAGATGTGCAATTGATCTAATTATGTTAGTGAAAGTGAAATTTAGATGACATGTGATTACTTTGTTTGTTTATAAATAGAGGTGACATCATGAACTTATTCTTATTTGGATATTTATGCTTTTGTGTTACAATAAGTTTGACTAAGAGCTCAGGTATGTGACATATTTGAATGTGTGTTCATTTAATCAATTTTTTTAAATTTTCTTATACTTAAATATTTTCACATTTTAATGCAAGTCATGTTAATAAGCGTAAAACACTACTGATTTATGGAATGTACTTTTTGTATTGTAAAAGATCTATTTTAACAGATATGGATACACATTCCGAGATTTCTGAAAGATATATATATAATATTAATAACTGTACGCAATGTGAAGTCCAACAACAATCGTCATGCATCTGTTTTGAATATGTTGGTAAGTTAATATCAAAATTTTTCGCGTGCGATTGCCAGTTAGAATTTTTT